ATTTAAAGTCTTGTAGAAGAGGAAAGTAAAAGTTGTGTGAGCATGAAGACTTGCGAGACAAAGGGGCACTTTTGTGAGGAAGAGAAAATGAAGACTAATGCAGACCATCTATTTTTTTTTTTTTTGTATAAATGTAACACACTTGTCCCAATGTGTGTGGGCAAAATACTAACCTACCTTAGCTTTGCATTGTATGCTAGTTTAAAAAGAAAACACAAAATAAACCTCTGTAAAATACTGTAAAAAAAAAATACAAAACAATAATAAAAAAAAAACAAACAAAACCCCAAAAACACAACAAGAAAAAGCTTTTATGGTGAGTTTTGTAAATAGATTTATTAAAGGATGACCTGTTCTCTAGCTGTGATCTTACCACTTCAAATGGATGTAATTTGAATAAATTTTGTATGGTAATGAATCAATAAAAAGGATTTTTTAAAGAGTTGAGATTTGTATACAGCTATTTAAATTCTTCTTGCTCTTGGTGCCTATCATGCTCCTTCTTGGAACCTAACCTAGCTGTTACTATTTTCATTATTAGTACTCATACTCATTTGACACCAGATAGGTTTCAATCCCATTTTTTTATTATGCTAATAATAAGTTCAGCAGGTTTTTTTAAAGCTAGAGTGAAACAAGAATAAAAGACATATTTAAAAGAGACACAGTAGGAGATCCAGAAGTTGGGATAACACAAGCCTCTCCTATGTGAATTATGAACAGACTTCTTGCAAAATTCATAAGAATGGGTTATTCTAAGATTAAATCACAGAAAGAAATTATTGAAGATCTGTTTAACCTTCCACTTGATAATTGCCTGGAACTTTCCTAATAGTAGCCTTGAAACAAAGGAATTCTCTGTGTAATTGAGTGATCTCCAACAGCCTCATGCACCAGATGTGCATTTATAAACTTGTACTCCCTCTCTGTTCTTGGTGCTGCACCTTTCTAGATGCACAGCTATTGGTTACTAAAAGAAAAAAAGCTATGGGGATGTAAAAATCACAGTAATATGGTTGTTTGCTTAAATGTTACTTCTGAACAAGTTGTACATCTTGTCATCTTCCCTGCGCACAAGGAAGAGGCTACTATTTTATCTCTTTTTGCACCAGTCCATACTCTTTAACTTCTGCACACAGCAGTACTGAAAGGAGGATTATAGAGACAATCCTCTGTTCTTCTATATTCCCAATAAATAACAAAGAAGAGCTAGAAGACTTGTTCTCTGATCTCCTTTAGAAGCAGAGATGACAGTAAATCTTTTTGTCCTGTCCATCATAGCTCCCTGGACTATCTTGGGCTTTCTGTTTTGTATCCGCCCTAAGCACTTATTTGTCATTAGAATCTGCTACTGATAGCCAGTTTTCATGTAATTTCTCTCTTTCTCCTCCTGTTTTCTGCATCTGCTTTGTAAACTTCAGATTTGCTGAGTTGCGGGAGGAAATAAAACCCCAACAGCTAGTTAAAATACCTAATTCTGCTCCCCTAAGCTAGCATGGTGTGTCTCAACATTATTCGGTGTACAACTATTGGTTAAAGGAGGTTTTACAGGGACTTGCATGTGCTGCATTCCTTGGCTACAAGCAGATGGAAAAGGATTCTGAGAAATCTGTCAAAACCAGCCTGAACGATAGGCAACTATACTCTTTTAACACATGAATTTAAAAAAACGGGGCTTCATGCTCTTGAATCTACAGTGAGAACTCATCTACCTGCAAATGCCAAATGCTATCACTTTCTATTCTTTTTGACTTATACCTGAAAGAATAAATTACACCAGTCTTGATGCAGACATGGACATTTTCATAGTAGAAATAAAGTATGAAAGATATGTAAGGTACTTCTTGTAGCATGAAATATTGCTACATGTTTAGAAGCACTAAATTTAGCAGTATAAGCGGTTTTCTATTATACCTAACAGAAAAATGGGTTGCTATCAATTCTGAGTGGTGCTGAATGTTGCTGACCAGCCAAATTTACCTAAACTCTAGGAATAGAGGAAGAAATATGATTTCTCATATGTAACTGCAGGACTCTCCATTTTTTTCCTGTGTGTCTTCCCACTTACTTTTACACCCAGAACTGCATGTTATCAGAGATTTGGGTTGTCATGTAAAAATTGGGCCCTCAGTTCCCAGGTTGTTTGCCTTCCCTAAAGTTGTTGAAATGCTCTAAAACAACCAAGGATGTGTCTTCTAACCATGAGCTAAACCTGAGGTTTGTATTTTATTTTTCTAGTAGTTTTTGTATTATCCAACTACCAGCAACTCCTGCAAAACCTGGAATGACTTAAGATGGTAACCTAGCCAGAGTCTGGCATCTTCTGAGTCTACCAACCTTGTAGAGCAGGAAGCAAGGTATGCAGGCAACGTGGAAAGGATGTGCTCTGGAGCTGTTCTTTGGATATCCAAGGAACTGAGGCATGTATATTGCCAGTCTACAGAAGGCCAGAACTGGGACTTGCACTGCCAGCCGCTGCATCTTAAAAAGTGCTTTTCTCATGTAGATATAGGTATACTTCCTTCCTGCAGTCAGGAGGTGGTAGGGACTCATCTGCTTCCCTTGCTACCAGTTGCACTACCAGCAGTCTGTGTGCAGCCTTATTTGTTATTATGAAAATTCTGCAAAGTAATTTTGAATTGCGAGCCTCAAAAGCACTTAAAGAGTGCCTCCCATCTGTGGCTACATCCTGCAACTAAACAGGACTGTGCTGGCACAAGGGCTGCTTGATATTATGACTTCTTGGCAGCGGGACAAAGTAAGGACTTGCCGGATCATGCTGAAACTGATCAGCATGGCCTATTTATGTCACTAGGTATGGGACTCATGGGTTATTCCTGCCTGGGAGCCACTCTTGGAGTTCATTGCCTCCCCTTTAATGAACAGCATTTTTCAACCTCATGTGGAGATTTTTGGGTAGGTCTTGCAGGCTATCTATGCTTTGCTCTTTTTAGTCAACCATAAAACATCATTGATGTCTGCTCAGTTCTGTTTAAGCAAACACTTGGCTAGTCAAGATAACTGTGGGGTAGTGCAGTGCTTCCAGAATAGAAATGTTTAGCTGTAGGACTGCATGTGAAATACTCAGAAAACTAAACACAGGAAACTGAAAAGAAAAAGAATCACTAACCTTATCAGGAAGCAGTTAAAATACTTGATTGGTAATATATATCTCATTACTTACTGATGTACTAAGGACTGCTTATACCATACTATAAGAGAGGATGTTGAAAACAGATGAATGCAACTACAGATTTTAAAGTGTTTTCCTCCATTCTCTTCTGGGCTAAAAAGTACTACAAAAATAATGAATTACACATCACACTGTCTCACTGAAAATATCTCCAAGAAGCACTTCTGTGCTTAAACAAAGACCAATCACAAAGGCAAATGTATCTTCAGCTGTAACAATGACTCTATCATGAGGCCAGGGTGATATTAATAGTGCTCAGTCCTGCCCAGAATGATTTGTTCTTACAAGACTGATTTAAATGAAGTGCTTGTTTCTTTCTGTCCCAGTTCTCCTCTTCAAATCTCTCCTGTTACTTTGTTCTCATTGTTATCCTTTCTTTGCCTTTGAACATTGTCAGGTAAGTGTGACATAAAATAAACACCAGTTTTTAAGAAAAAGGAGAGGGAGGACAAATTCTATTCATGGGTAGAAGTTGCCAAATTTTATCTACTAGCAGACCAATAGGCCTATTATGGAATACACTTCGGGCTTTCATTCACTTTCCCTCCAGTTTGAGGGAGGCTATAATCTGCTATCTGGAGAATAAAATGATTCCAGAGGCTCTTTCTAATGTTCCAAATGCTATCACAAGAAATGGTGACTTTAATGTTCCATAGCAGCCTATGCTAGAGATGCAATAATCTTTCTAGATTAATTGTGTATATTAAAAACAAAGCAAAAATATTATGCTCACCCTCTGTCACACTTTGATAAAGAAAACTATACACTTAATAATCTGTCTGCTTAGAGCCTTAGCTTTAGCCATCCAAGTTAAAACACACAGACTGATGTCTTCTAAAAATTTATCACAAAAGTTGCTCTTAGCCCTAAATTGGAGGAAAACAATACCAGAAACTTTAGCCATCTCACATTAAATATTTTGATCAATGTCTTCCAGACTAAGCAGAAAAGTTGCTACTGGCAATCTATTTTGAGGGAATTACTGAATTACTGATTTTTTTTTTTTTTTTTTTTTTTAAGTGTTGTGGACTTCACAAGAATAAATAGCTCATCATTCATTTAGATCAGATACATCAGAATCCAACTGTTTTGACTGGACACATATTGTTGGACCTAATTTCCAAACGAAATGAAGGCAAGTTTCCAAGGATTCAGGAAACTCGGTCAGAGACTGCATGGCCGTGGTGCTCAGCCGCTACCCCGGCGCCGGTTATTTGTACTTCAAACAGCCACGGCGCACTGCTGCCGGAAAATCCACTTTCACCTCCACAGCTTCACCTTCAGGCTCACAGATCCGCTGTTTCCAGCACAGCAGCAGCAGCTGCCCGACAATTCGATGCCGTGTGGACTCCAGCCTGGACAAGCCACCCGACCATTCTGGCCAAGGCGACGGGGCCCTGCCCAGGGACCCTCTTCGCTGTGAGGGCGGTGAGCCCGCAGATCTTTCCAGCCGTCCAAGAAGACGACCCTAGGACACCTGCCTCACGGCGCCGCTCCCCGTTTCCCCCCAGCTCCCCGCCGGGAGCCATGGCGGCCCGGTGCAGCGGCCGCGTTAAGGCTCCAACGGTCCTAGCAGCAGCCGCCGCTGCCCGCAGCTTCAAGTAGGCCTCTGCTTTGCTCTTCCGCGCGTATGGCAGTCCAACGGCGAGACAGCCGGGAGTAGCGGCCCGGCTGTCAAACAAACACCTCAGCGATCTGGCGGCATGACGACCAACGCCGGGCTATCGGCGGGCGGGCTGGCAGCCACACGGCGCCGGTGCCGGTGCCCCCGCCCCTCCCCACCCTCGCGAGGCGACCCCTCAGGGCTCTGCGGCCACTTTTGGCTGCTGCCGGCCACCGTCTCGGCGCTGCAGCGCGCGCGGGGGCTAGAGGCGGGGCGCAACAGCTGTGATGGCGGAACCTGGCTGAGGCTGCGTAGCGCCTGGCGGAGGTAAGCGTCAGGGATCGCCCTTCACTTCTCTGTACCCTTCCCCTGCCCCGGTGTGACGGTGAAGGCCGGGTACCCCTGCCCTGGCTCTGCCGGTGTCCTCTCGCATAGTGCTCCTATGTCGTTTGGGGCCTCCCCGGGGATCCACGTTGAAGCCGGGAGAGGAGGTGACTCCTCGGGCGGGATCCCGCAGAGGCTTTAGCTGCCGGGTTGCTGCTCGGTGTCGAGTGATGTCGGCGGGGTGGAAGCCTGCTGAGGAGCTGGGCGCAGCTGGGCTCCAGGCTAGGCCAGGCGACACCAGGCTGCTGCTTGTCGGGGGTCACGGAATAGGCTGGCCCTGGGGCCCTGCCGTGAGCCAGGCTGAGTGGGGGGTCGGTTTTAGTTTATATTCATGCTGTCCTTTCTGTCTGCGCTGCGTAAGCCTCGGAGTAAAAGCCTGATTCTTTACCGGAGACACCTGTTGGTGAATGAATGAAAGAGCAGTCCTCTTCCACCTAGGTGGGAGTTTTCTCAATGGGAAGAAGTACTCTCTTGGTATACGCAAGAAGATCGAGGAGGGGTGGCTGAAATTGACTAGAGCTAGGGAGGTTTTGTTTGTGACAAGACGTTAAAGAGACTTTTACTGGTTTTTATTTACTAACATTCGTTAAAGAGAAACATGGAGTTCTGTGGGTACAACTTGTCAGTATAAGAAGAGCATGTTGATTTCTACCTTTGTTATTGCCTCTTATATCAGTCAGTCTGACAGAGTAGCTGCAGGAATCAACATTTATTTATTTGCTTGTGAAGGAGAGATCTCATGCTTGCATATGGAGCTAGTGTAGGTACTGAGTTATCCAGTCTAAAAAAACTCGCCTGTGTTTGCACTTAAAAAACTACAGTTGTGAACATCTTAGCTAAAATTTACTGTTAATCTCTTTTCCTTCTTTCATTCAAAATTTTAAATTCCTGCTGAAAGATAGAAATATATAGGTAGTCTAAAAGAACTTAAATAGATCAGACTTTTGACAAAAAAGACTATAAAAGATTAAAAAAGGTTACAGCCCCTGCTCAGGGAAGGGCAGGGAAAATGTGGCCACTGTTCCACCTTGTCAGCCAGTCAGCATGTGTACCTACTAATAAATAAGGTCAGACTGAGCAAGAAATGTATTTCTGCAAAAGGAAGATGAATACTAGAAGGGTAATAATGTGAACTCATAATTTTCTGTTTGCTAGTTCTGCTTGTTCATGCCATATCTTTTTTCCCCAGGAATATTATCCAAGCAGAGTTAAACCTTGATGAAAAAGGTATGGATTTTATTTTAGCTGTATTCTTTCTTTAGTGAAATAAAAATAACTAAAAAAATAAACTAACTAAATAGAATAAACTAAGCTTATTTATTTTGCCAGCTGTTCCATTATATCAGATATTTTTCTGGAAGAGAGAAGAAAACAACAAATTAACTTTTTTTTCCTTTCCTGTATTGAGTTGATAACTTTTCCTGTTTGTACGTGCTTACTGCTAGTATAAGGTAATATAAGGGATGTCACCTCCCCCCGGTGTTCTTCATTGGTGGAGTTTTTCACAGCTTTTTATATTTGTTCATCCTTTGCTGTGTTATTTTACAGATGCTGGGAGCTAGATGAATGCTTAAATGCTTAAGTTTGTAGATGCATCTTCCTTGAGACATCATTATGTTCCTTTTAACTTAAATGCAGATGTATAATTGTTCAGGTTACTTTGAAGTATATCTTGCGAGGTTGACTGAATGACTCCTACTGGGAAAATGCACAGGTGTTTAACATCTTTTATTCTGGGATAATTCAGTTGCAACAGCTGAAAGTATTTTGTATGCCAGTAGCCTGAATTTTCTGTTCCTGAAATCTGGTTTTAAGGAAATGAAATTTTTTTTTTTTTTTTCTTCACTGTCAGTTAGTAAAGTGTTGTATTTTCCCTCTAAAACCTGTGAAATGCCTTTGTGTGATTTCCTTAGTAAGCTCTTGAGACATCTACAAAACCAAGTTTCCAGTAGTAAATCAGACTTTATTCTGATTAAGAATTACATACAGCATGGTGTGAGGTGTGTAATTACTGCAGTAACTTTTTTTTGTAGTCTCCTTTAGCAAATAACTCCCCTCCCCCCTCAAAACTGATCTGGATCTTGAGATTTGCTGGGAGATACATATATGCGCTTTCTCATGGAAGATCTAGTTAGATCTTAGTAGTCTTCTAGTATGTCATACAAGCCAGATGAAAATCTAGTTATTTTATGTTAGCTAGGTATAGTTGTTTAACATCTCGTACCTGAGGACAAGAACTTTTATTTTGCTGTCCTGATGAATGAAGTAATTCAAATGAAAGGCCTGTAAGATCAGGAATTCTAGGAATAGTTTGGTTTCCAGTAGGTCAATGGAGACATATTGGAATACTGTGCAGCTGGTTTTGGTACACACGCACACCAAAAAATAAAAGGAGCCGGAACAGCCAGCCTCTGAAGTAGGCACTTGAATGCTTCTTTTTTCATTTTTCTCCTGAGATGAGTGGAAGCGTATCTGATCACATAATGTGAACTCATTATTTCACTGATTCCTGACACAATTAAAAATACTTGTATCTTAGATATATCATGTCAGGGAAGCTGCAGGATTTTTATTTTGATTAGAAGATGACAAGGTACAGATGGTTAAAAAAAGGATTTATATGGTTTGCGGCTTTCTCCCTGTCTGTGTTTGAGATCTGGAGAGAAGAGGGCATCAGGAAATATCTCTGGGTAGTCAGTTGTTTTTCGTGTGCTCAGTATCCCTCGTATGTATGATATATTGCAGGTGTATATAGAAATATATTAGACTTTTCTTTATGAGAGCATATATGCTGGATACTAGGCCTTGGTTTTGTATTCAAATGTTTGCTATACCAGTTTTCTCTAATACGTCTTAAAGATGCCTGCTGCCTGTGATTCTGTGCTTGAAGACATTGAAGATATTGTGTCAGCAGAAGACTTGAAACCACATGATCGGCAATTTGTAAGGAAGAATGTTTTTCCAAAAGTACGAAAACGCAATTCACAAAAAAATAATCAGACAGATGATGATCCCCCAAGTGACAGGTAAATTCTTCCTTCAACCATATCTTGTTGCTTTTCTTTTGTGTGCATTGTCGGCTTCTAAAACTGCAGTGGAAGGTTCTCAGTCTCGTGATGGAAAATTTGAATACAAGATAAAAATTAGTAAAATAGCATTTATAAAATGTAGTGGTAGTGAATAATAAATCCTAAGGAAATTGCTTGTCCTTGACAAACTTTTTGTAGAAATCAGTTATGACTGAGATACTGATCAATGGAGTAATCAGACTGGTAAAAATGGTTTTATGTGTAAGACATTTCTGAAAAATGGTCTGCTTCACCTTAATGACCTAAACAGCAGCTGAGCTATTCAAAATGCAGTCCTGGACTAGCCTTTTGACTATGGGAATGAGATCTGGAATAAGAAATATGAACAGAATTCTGAGAGTCGTAAAAGGTTTGAGGTTGACAGGGACCTCTGGATGTCATCGTGTCCAAAACCCCTGCTCAAGCAGGGTCACCAAGAGTTAGTTGGCCAGGATAGGTAGTTTTTGAATATGGGGAAGTTTTTTTTGTGGCAAGACATTAAAGACACTTTGTTTTTATTTACTAACATTCCTTTTTTTAAAGATAAACACTTTCTGTAGGTAAAGCTTGATAGTATAAGAAGAATCCCTGTCAGTCTTCAATACCAGTTTGCACAGGAACTTGAACAGCCTGGTCTAGTGGGAGGTGTCACTGCCCATGGCAGGGGGTTGGAACTAGATGATCTTTAAGGTTCTTTCCAACCTAAACATGCTATGATTCTATGAATATCTCTAAAGAGGGAGCCTCCACCACCTCCCTGGGTAACCTGTACTTGTGCTTGGTAACCGTCACAATGAAAAAGTGTTTCCTGATGTTCAGAGGGAATCTCCCTTGTGTCAGTTTGTCCTGTTGCCTCTAGTCTAGTTGCTGAGCACTGATGAAGAGAGCCTGGCTCCATTCTCTTTGCACTGTCCCATAAGTTGTTTCTGTGTGTTGGTAAGATTCCCATGAGCCTTCCTTTTCCAGGCTGAACAGCCCCAGCTCTCTCAGCCTGTCCTTGTATGAGAGCTACTCCAGTTCTTTAACTGTCTTCATGGCTGTTTGTTGGACTGTTTCGAGTGCATCCATATTTTGTGAGTGCATGCTGTCAGGACCCAGGGACTTACATATGTCCAGTTTACTGAAGTGTCCCTGACCTGATCCTCTTCCACCAAGGGCATGTCTTTTTTGCTTCAGTCTTTCCACCTGATTTCTGGAACGTGGGATTTCCAAAGGATGTACTTTTTCTATATACCTCCTGAAGTGATACAGTGAAACTTCTTTCAAAGTTACTGTTTTATTTCAGTGGAAATAGTATGCAGTATCTATGGAATATATCTTGGCAATTTTCCTTCTTGTGATTCCTGTAAAAAAAGAATCAATTATCTGCTGCAGTGGAATTGATGAGAGCATGTCTTGCATGCATAGGAAAAACAATTTTGTTTTTCCATTACTGTTCAAAAGAGATTTTGTAAGTGTAACAATGCATGCTTCTGTGAAGCCCCATAAAGGTTCATTGATCCCATTCTTCCAGGAGTGTATATAGAGTTGAATTGATGGTTTACAGATACTTCACAGTAGCTCTCTGTTCTCCTAAGTAGTCAGGTATGGTATATTTATCTAACAGGCTGTGATTTAGTGTTTTTGACCCAAGAAAGCATATTGAGTGTATGTTGTTCAGACAGTAGAACGTCTAAATATATTGTACATATGCAACATGTGTTGCACACATCTACTTAATGATCATTAATCTTCCATCAACAAATCCCTGTTTCTAGATAGGGGAAATATCTTTGAAAAAAGAAGCATGGAGAGTGGGGAAGATGTGGGCAAGGCAAAGGATTGTGTTCCAGGATGTGTGTTCTTGCACTGGCATCGGTAGCTCACGGACAATTATCCCAGGAGTTTCAGTGGGAGCTACTTCCAGAATTTTTTGTTGGTTCTTAAACAGTTGTGTGTGCTAGCTCCATGGTGCACATCTACCATGCTGCCATGCTTCTATGGCCCAGAAAGATTGATATGAGCTTTCAGTTGTCTGTGTGGCTAGTGGCAGGCTTAAGCAAAGAATTTATAGATGGCTTGCATGGAGGGAACTAAAATCAATGGGGACATAATATAAAAGGGCTGCAGTTTAGCTCTAACAGTTTGTTTGCTGGTGGCCTGATTTCAGAGCAGCCACTTTTTAAATGATATGATACTTTTCCGAGAGTTGTTGTTTGTTTTTTAATGTAACTGCAGTGTACCAAATCTCTTTTTATCCTACAGCTCTCGTACCTTCTCCATTCTAAAGTTCTTTTCTTGCTGCTTCTGCTGTCTTGACCCTGGCCAACAACTGGGCAGCTGCCCAGCTACTCGGTCACCCCTTTTCCCAGTAGGCTGGGGGAGAGAATTGAAAGAGCAAAAGCAAGAAAACTCGTGGGTTGAAATAAAGAAAGCTTAAGTGAAGGAAAGAGTAGGGAAAAACCCCAGGTTATGCAAGAGCAATCACTTGGCACCTCCTACAAGCAGACTGATGCCCAGTCAGTCTCAGAACAATGGCTAGTTTGGAAAGACCAAGCCCCCATTTTTTTATTACAGAGCATGATGTCATCATATGCTTTATCTTTTTGGTTAATTTGGTTCAGCCATTCTGTCCATGTTGCTTCCGAAGCTGTTGTCTGTCTCCAGCCTGCTTGTGGTGGGATGGAGCAGAGTGGGAAACAGGCGGTTTTGATGCTGTGCAAGCATTGTCCAACAATAACTAAACCACAGGTCTGTTATTAACACGATTTTGATCACAAATGCAAAACACAGCAGCACGCAGGTTGCCGTGGAGTTAACTCTATTCTAGTCAGACTTAAAATCCATTACAAGAAAATCACGTAATTATGATGATCTTACCCCCCTGTTTCGGTGGTGGTACTATTTGTGTAGGTTATTTTATATTTGGATAATTACTGTTAATTAAGTCTGCTCAATGGGCTCATAGGAGAACCTTGTTCATCTTTTAACTTGCCTTTTTCATTCATTTTTACTTAACAGCATTATTCCTGGTGCTCAGAAAATCTGGATTCGTACATGGGGATGTTCTCACAATAATTCGGATGGTGAATATATGGCTGGACAGCTGGCTGCATATGGATACAAAATTACAGGTAACAATATTGGATGGGTAGCATAATTCAGTTATTTGGGGGTGAATGTTCAGAGCTGTCAAGCTGTCATCAAATGTTTTTAGTCTCAATTCAACTTTTTTAAATCCCCCTTTGCTCTCTTTCTGATTTGAAGGTGAGAAGATAAAGTGTTTACTTGGCACTTAGCAGAATGATTACAGGAGTGCTTTCAGATTTTCCTGACAGGGCAGCTGTCTAAGAGATGTCATGCAGTGCCTTTTGTGGGCATTTTGTTAGCTAAACTTAATTGGAAAGTTTACATAAGAGTGGGAGGGAGCGATAATTCTTGGGCAGAATCTAGCTGGTTGTGTGATTGTAATTGGTGGAACCTAAGTGAGAGAGAAAGGGAGGAAAGAAGTGTATTGTCACTTAGTGATGTGTGTGTTTGCTGCTGGAGCAGAAGTGAACTGCACCATGTGAATGATCCTTTGATGGAAGTGGGATGATATAGGATTTTATCTTGTATGTACATTAAAGAGAGCTGAAAATACTATTTCTCCTTTTCTTCCAAATACTTTACAGTGGTCTCTGTTACCTTTTTCTGCCTCCTCAGTCGTGAACAAAAAAACCCAAACGCGTGGTTTTGCTGGCCATGTTTAATCTCCTTGATGCAAAATGCATTGGAGGGTGAGGGAGAACTCTAAAACGCTGAAAATGTTGAGAATTATTACCTGACTACTTTTGTGTAGCTTATAAGTAATCAAAAATTAAAATTTTATCCATTAGTTCAAGTTTTGGTCTGTCTTGCATTTAAAATTGTTTCCTGGTTATACTGAAAGACTTCAAAGTTGTTTTTCCTGACATCTTGCTAGAAATATTTTATTCCTCATTTTGTAGAATGCTTGTTTCTTTTTTTGGAGCATCTCATGGTATTGCTAAGCAGTTACATTTTATTTCCTTTTTTGGAGTTGATCTTTCTGTATTTATTGAAGTAGAAAGTAGATACTTAATTATTCAAGTGCTGAACTATTTTAGGGAACCCAGGTGATATTCTAATTTGTAGTGCACCTCTGGAGTAGGTATGCTCTTTTCACAGACTAATGGAGTGCTGGTCCAAAATGCCTGATTTGTGACAGCAGTAAGACTGCAACTGAATTTTTGGTTTTGCTTTATTGTGGCTTGCTTAAATTAAATTTTTCCTTAATTTTTCTAATGCATAATATTCCAAAAGCTACTTCTGGCTTGTCAAGGTTCGGTGGCTGTCCTGTGGTGTTTGAATTCTACTGGGGTAAATGTAGGAAAGATGCAGTGCAGCAAAGGGTGGGGGGGGGAGTAGATACTATCTTTTTTTAGCAAATTAAGTATTCATAACCTTAGGATAGAAATAAGTCTACATCTAGAATCTGAAACTGAGAACTGAAGACTGAATAAAAGTTTTGGTACCTGGGATAGAAGTACCTATAGAGTAATTTTGGTAATTGTGTATGAAATTGACTGCTAGTTTCCGGTCATCATTAAATCAGTGTCTTGATTTTGTTCACTTATATGTATGCATATGCTTACATTAAATGAAACAAACAAGGAAAGCCCAATGCTGAGGTGGTAGGTGGAAATTACTGTCTGCATTCTTCTTTGTGAAATTGGGTAACTTCTTTTTAAGTTGGTATATTTAAGGACCTCTGAAAGTTTAATTTTTGTTCAGTAGAACAAAAATATTGGCTACAAATTCTGGCTAAAGTGAATTTTTACAAATCTATCTATTTAATATTATTCTTTATAGGCTGTCAGTGAAGCTGGAACTCAGTGCAAGTATTGCAAGTATGGTAGCTCTATGTGAGAATATGCGCTCAGTGTAATGATGCTTCTGGCCACAAGTATGTATGGAAGTGCTCTGTTACTGCTTGGTTTGCCAATAATGTGTCTCAGGGTTTCACACTGGGATTGATCTATTTAATGTCTTTAACGGACTTGGAAGACAGGATGTGATGAACCTTCAACTAGTTTGCAGGCTATGCCAAAGTGGGGGAAGTGGTTGACAGGCTGGAAACCAGTGCTGTGGTTCAGAGAGACCTTGACAGGCTAATGCAAGCCATATGTTTTTTAGCAAAGGCAAATGCAAAATCCTAGGGTTGGCATAACTCCAGCTAGTGGTAAAGGTGAGGGTGGGTGGGCAGGCTCTCTAGAAAGCATGTTTGTGGAAAAAAGATTTTTAGGATTGTGGTTGACAAGAATTGAACATGAGTCAGCAATGTACACTTGTAGCAAAAAAAGGCAAACTGCATCTTGGGCTATGTTAGCAAAAGTGTAGCCAGCAGGTCTGGGAAAGGTGATCCTTCAGCAAGCTTATGTGGTACTTGTGAGATGGCATTGGGAATGCTGTGTCCAGTGGTAGTTTTGCATTCCCTAAGAAAAGAGAAGTTAGTTGAGTGGAGTGAGTCCACTGCAGGGCCACCAAGATGCTTAGGGAGCACATGGTGTAGGAGAAGAGACTAGGAAGACTGGCTTTCTTCAGCCTTAGGAAGAGAAGACACATGGAAGTTCCTACTTGCAGATAGCAATACCCAGTAGGAGGGTACAGAGGAAATGGAGTCAACTGCTTATTAAAGGTATGCAGTGACAACAAAAGACAACAGTCTTCCTTTTGCCAAAGTGGCAGTTAAGATTTTTAGCATCTGGTGCATTGCTTGCTGCTCATGCTGTCAATTTTCGTATAAAGAATATGCTAATATAGAAAGTTTCCCAACATGTCTTGAGTATCTCTTGTCAATCCCTTTTTAAGAAAGCTTTTTTTTTCTATAGTAAGTCAGATAGAAATTCAGATAGAATCTTAAGAATAGATTTAATCTTTTTGTCTTATACAGTGAAGTAGTTCCTCAGTAAGTGTTGCTTAACATAATAAAAATTTCAGACTTTTCTTGAAATTAAATTTAGTATTGTTTACACTATTTCAAAGATAGTAGAATGTTTTACAAGAGCTTTTTTTCTAATTCAGTGCCTCTCAGTTGCTAGAATTTGTTAGTTTACAAACTTGAGGAAAAGTTAGAAATATTCGCTAAGGTAAAGATTGTTGTCACAGGATCCCAAACAGCTATTACTTACAAGTATTGATTAGCCTGCTTCCTAAGCTTTTGAGTCAACACTTATTGAAAGGATGCTGGAGTAAAGTTCTTGTTCTAAGAAATAAAATGTGAGCTTTACTTGCATTTATTAGACCATTGTAAGGGAAATGGTCAAGTATTATTTCTAGTCTCTTTTATGTAATTGTAAGATTGAAACATAAAAATACAAGAAGCAGTATCAGACAGACTTTCATTGCTAACTAGAAGTTGTAATATACAACCTGCCTTATAAGTTGATTTAGCTGAAACACTGATACAATGAATGTCTTCTAATTATAGAAATAAATCTTCATGACTTGTTGCAAGAATCTAATTCTCACATCATTCCATACCCCTTTTTATTGTATGGATTCTCTGCTGTTCTTGATTTGAACTCTGGTCAGGAGAAGCTTAAGTGTGTGTGTCCATTTTGCCTTTCATCTGTTTAAAAAATGTTCTTTCTATACAAACACCCTTTGTTACTTTCAGGAGTGGCTATATCTAAAGGTGAAAACTGAGGTCCTACAGTTTTTCACCAGAAAGACTACTATCTGGGGCAAGAGCATGGTGTGAACTGGCAATATACAGATGCTGCAATAACAGCAATGGTGATTAAAAATCAGGAGCTGCATCAGCTTAAAAAATGGCAAAGGGAAGCCATCTGAAGAGCTGAACCTATTTTTGTATCTGCTTTTACAGTGTGAAGGTAGGCAGTGTTCTGAACAAATCTTGCATACCATCCTGTGGGAACACAAAGCTCCTTTGTTAGTCTGAGCCGCACAGAAATGTGTAGACCAGCTGCTATCAGTGTGGGGCTGTACTGTGCTACTTGTTCACATTCTGAAAACAGTGTAGCTGTTGGAGGCTTTACTGGTTCTAAAACTGGTTTTGGTTTCTTGGCAGCCTGACTCCCTGTATTAGATATGCCTGCAGACCTACTAGAGTGCTCCCTTTGACATACACCCTGGAGGAAGAAGCTCGTGGTACAGACAAGTAATGCCTTCTGTGAAAGAGAGGAAGTTGGTTAGCTGGGAGCTCTCAAATATTGTGAGCCAGGTGTTTGGGAAGGGAATTCAGTATGTGTGCCACTTAACAGTATTTTCTCTCTGAAAAATGGAACCAAACATGTATAGTCAGACAGTGAATGGTTCGATTCCTGAAGCGGGTAGTCATGTTAGCACTTGTTGGCATCTGTAGGTTTCTGTTTCTATGAAATGAATGCTTTTTGGTCCAGCCTTCTGGAATCCCTTTTGACAGATCAAGCAGTTAGGTATGTTTATTTTGATGATTGTTTTTGGATTGAGGCTTTTCAGGTCCAAAGCCTCAGTCATTATAAAACATGCTGGTGGAGTTGGGGGGGGGGGTGTGTGTGTGGAGACAGATACTACCAATTACCTAGAAATACCAGGAGAATAAACAGTGACTTTCCTTTTATGAAAAGGAAGCAAAAAGTGGTATTAAACATTCAGTGAAGCTAAACCAGTAAAAGGTTATCTGCACTAAACTTTTTTCTTTTTTTTTTTTTTTTCCTTTGGAAATAAATGCTAGCATGGAACTTTTTCCTGCTGTAGCATGGGAGTTCAGAAGCAGAAAGGGGTGGAGTTGTTCTGTTGCTAATTCAGTGGCCTTGCCTTTGATTTAGCACATGGAAACTGTCCTTAGCTTTACTTGTGCAATTTCAGACTAGTTTTTTTCAGTCATCGCTTTTACTGTCTCATGCATTTTTTCTGTAAGATTGTTGGATTGAAAGATGCTGTATTTTTCACGGGTTCCTTCCTGTTCCTGTCAGAGAGCTTACTCTGTTACTGTGATTGTGGTATTTGTTGGTGGGACTTTGATCAGTGAGATTTGCCAATTGCTATTGAAGCTTAGTATTTATAGTCTTTGTTATATATCTTGCAACTCTGAAGTTCACTGTGCAGAGAATTTATGTATTTCTCTAAA